AGGGTATTTTGGGAAATTTGGGGGAAATTTGGGTATTTTGTACAATTTGAATGGTTTGAAGTGGTTTGACATGATTTTTGTGAGAATTTGAGAAGTTGTGCAATTTTGAGAATTTTAGGATTCCAGGGGTATTTTGGTAATTTTGTAGAACTTTGGGGGTAGGAGGCCAAGGTTGGATGCTTAGGTGGAACTGGAGGTCATTTGACATGCTAACCATGATGTTACCCTTATGGTGCCATGAGACCAATGAGAGAGCCCATTTTGGATCCTCCATGTGCTGGTCCTAACCACCTTAGCCAAAGGCTAAAGGCTTGGGGAACACTCACATGAGTTTCCAAAAGAGTGGGGAAAAAGATCAAATGTGAATGATTTTAGGGTTTGTGGTGTGTGATAGTGATGGATTCAAGTGTTTGTGTAAACATGACCAAGACCAAGCCACCCAGAGCTAACCCTAAGTTCTGACAATCCTATGAGAGTTCTCTCTAAGCTTGCCCATGTTGGTTCCAACCTTCTAATTGCTAGAGGTTAGAACTATATAAGTGATACTATAGATAGAATAAAGAAGCATTTATAATTTCTAAGGGAGATAGTTTCCATCACTAAGTTTCTAATATAGTCGACAGGAAAGTTTGATGGCTAGATCCTAAGCTTTTAGAGAGGAGAAACTCGGACCTCACAAAAAATGAGGTCAACATAGGACCATAGGGACTTAAAGTATTCTTTCCTTTAGCTTTAGGGCCATTGAAGTTCTCTTGGATGACATAACTCATGAGTTGCTTACTGCGAAGAGTTTAGATGAGGTGGGTCGACTACCTTCATGACTGAGTAGACCCATAGTTTTGGATGAAAGATTAATGGAATCCTAATCAAACTATCTTTATCTACTCAGAATTCCTTACCCATATGAGACATCTTTTTGGCCCTATTGTTTCCATTTTTTAGTCATTGTGGGTGTGTATCATATGCCTTCTCAATTTAGTGACTGCTACCAACTAAGTAATTCACGCTCTATTTTGTCGCCTAGTACTAACTTGATGGTTAGGACATTTCCCATATTGAGACCATTGAAAAATCTCCTTGGCTACCTATATTTGAGAGTTTTTCTTATTTTCTCATATGATGTAATTGACTTTGAGGATTCATCATCATTTGAGATCTCTTTTTTGAGATCTCTTTGAATTCATTAAAAAAAAAAAAATTGATTTTTTATTTTGGTTTGGTTACAAAGGTCGTTTCTATATGGACTTTCTTGTATATTCTCATGGGTTGCGTAAGGTTTGATTTACTTTGAACTGCTCTTTTTTGGTTTATGTTACGGTGATATTTTTATATAAATATCTTCCTAGCTACTCATTTTTACTTCTTATTAATTTTATCCATTTTCTAATTCTCTTTTCTTTCTACCTTGGCGTTTATAAGTGAGTGTGATCTATAAGGAGAAGAGATTTAGAAAAAGGATGAATGTTGAGAATGTCATTCCGACCATATCAAAAAGAGGCAGGAATAGGAGCGTTAGAAGATTCAGAGCATGGAGTACGCATACTTAATCATAAGAAATTTTGAGTTTCACTTCTCTTTCTTTACTTTATACCTTTGCTTAAAGTTGAATGATTTTTACATATGATTTGCAAGCATGATGCATAATTAAAGTGCCTTTTTAGATTAGTGTTGGAGTTAATGATTTTCATTTTTCTAACTTGCATTTTCGAAGTTTTTTGTGATAAGTATTGATGTGTTAACCTTTTAAAATTATTTAAGTTTAGATGTGATATAAATATTTCAGAAGAAAATTAATGGAATAATTAGTTTAACACACATGAATTTGTTAGAGTGAGATATTGCCACCAAAGGAGTGCAATGAATTGAGAAATATGGATTCCTTGGGGTTTTTGTATGATTTAGGACACTAGACTGTAACACAAAACCCTCATGCTTTTTAATATCATGAAAGAGACTAAGGAGCACCATTATTCTTGATTGTCAACATTATTAGAATGTTTTTGGATAAGTTTAAGATAATAGCACATCTCTAATTCAAAGCATCTACTTTTATCAAAATCTTAGAGAACTAACAAAAGTCGCTATTTAATATTTTAGGATTAGTAAACCTTAATAATAATTTAACTTTTTGAGTAAAAATTAAAACTTTAAGAGTTAGTATGTGATCTTGTTGCTGAATTAACCTAGTAACTTGTAGGACCAATATCTTGAACTCAAAGTTTGTATACTACTTGATAGCATGTGCACTGACATGGGATATGTGTGTTGTTACATTACATATCAATGAGGAATATAGAGTCACTGGTTCTCTAAGGTATTTTATTTACATGAAGGTTGAGAGTTTTGTGTTATATAAGAAGTCACAAAATAAGTTATACTTGTAAGGAAAAAAAATGTAAGAGGCGTATAGCTTGAATAAAAACTTAAATGGTGGTTGTCTATGATGCTTGAGGAAGTCTCTAGTTCATGAAATAATATCCATTAAGTGGAATTTTCAACTTAGGCTTTTAGTTGATAATTTTAATTTATTGAGTGTCATATTAGCTTTTGTGTAATGTCCTCATGAATTTAATGGATGTATCCCAACTTAGTTTGTTGATAACTTACCTTAATCCTAACACTGGAGAATGGAAGGGTAAGGGTTTAAAACCTAATTGAGCAAGGTGGGTGTCTTAAATTCAAATGGGTGAGCCGTTCTGAGTCATAGTTTGTGATTCTTAAGCTCATTTCCTTGTGGATCTAACTGATGAATCCATCTCAAAATTTGCTTGGTGAGTTATTTCTAAGGTAAGATTAATGAGACCCTTGGAAAAGTCTGCCCTTGTGATATACATTGTTAGCTGTAAGCTAAAGTTTAAGAAAGCACTATTGTTATATGTTATTGAAAATCAATTATGCATCTCAGTTGGCTATTGTTGAAATCATATGCGCTCTTAGTATTTATAGCTAAAGAAAAAACTCAAGCTTCGTAGTCATAACCACAAACTATTTACTCATCTATAGTGTTAGTGCTTCAGTTAAAATTTCCTCTAGAAAATGAGGTTATGTATTATTAATTTTTTATGGTAGTAGTGATGGCTCAACATTTATTTATTCTTTTGGGTTTCCTTTATGTATTAGGACCCATTTAAAGAATTTAAGTGTAAATGCACACACACATAACTATAGTAATTCCTCATCCCACTAGAAATCCTAGCAGAGCTCCTCCTCCAGTCGCCACCACCATCTTCTTATATATATATATATATATTTGTAAAAGGAGCATTATTCGACTCCCTACATGTTGATCAATCAAACAACACAACGATACAAAGTTGGAAAAGTCCCCTGTCTAAAAACCAAAATACAATGTGACTCACACCTAAAGAGGGGACCCATCCACAAACATATTCACCTTACAGCAAAAAAAGAAAAGGGTAGGGAAAATGACCGTCTTAAATATATATATAAAGAACATCAAAAAACTAAGTAAACTAGAAAGCAGAAAGCTATGATATATATATACTATCATAGTTTTCATTGTCATGTGTTTATCCAGGTTCCAACCTAATATTTCTCGGAGGTCTAGACTATATATTTGATAAACTTGTGTTACACACTACATTAACATAAATGTACTCATATTAATTTCTTCTCTTATCAAAATCAAATCTAGAATTTTAATTTTAACTACTAAATCAAGTTTTAGGTCTTCCAAATATTAGATTGAAGTATAGGGTTGGGGAGAAATAAATACAGAAAAGTGGTATGTGTTTAGATGAATCCAATTTTATATTTGAGTTTTTTCAACTCATTGATGGAGATTTGAATAGTATAAATCAAATAAAAACAATTAAAAAAACAACATAAGAACTTAAAAAATTCAAAAAACACTATATTGAGGACAAAAAATATCGATGTTGATATAAAAAAAAAATGAAGCATTGACATATCAACACACAATTATGTAATTGATATTTTTATCAACAGACTATGTTACATTTGACACTTGAATCTTGCAAAATTAAGTAGCATAATTACCTTTAATAAAAATAAGGAGAGTTACTAGAGACAATATGGAATTGAAGATTATAGATAGTTGTAGGGAGAAGCTCTCTTGTGCTTGAACTTTCTAATGGAAAAATAAAGAAGTAGAGAAAAATGCAGAGGAGCTGTGAGATTTAGGGAGAGCATTGGGAGAAGCTTTTCGTTAAGCATGAATTATGCATCCAATGTAAAACACAAAGGAGTAAAGGCAAGGGAGGAGCTTAGTTGAGATGGTTATGTGAACTTTATGTGAGAATGAGGAACAAAGGAGCTTATAAGTAAGATGCCGACATAAATATTCTATTTAATGAGTTTTAAGGACATATTTATAAATTATGAAATTTAAACATTAAATATGAATAATAAAATTTACATATATCACATAATTTCTATGTATTTAATTGCATATTTGATATTAAAACTTTTATTTTTATATTTATATTTTTTATTTAGACATATAACTATGTATTTTCTTAAATTAATAAAAATGATAATTTATTTATGATATAAAAGTTAAAATTTGGAGGCATTGACATATACCACAAATTTGTTACATGTTTACATAGTTAATACCTAAATTTCAAATTTATATACATACAGCTCAAATCTTTAACGTCAAATAAAAAATATCATTATTCAATGTAACTTTTTATGTAAAAGTTTTTAATAGCATTTTGTTATGAATAAAAATTCTTTTTTTTGTGTTAAGTATATAGATACATAAGAATTGTGTGGTAGTATACATGACAATTTCCCTAAATTTTATGGGGCAATTAGATACAGAGCACACAAAATCTTGCAATTTACAAATTGAAAATCATTTTTCATCTATATTTTAAATTCTCACTCAAATGTTAAAATTTATGGCAAAATCTTCAAAAATATTTTAAATTTTTAACAAATTATGAATGATTTGATCATGATTCATGACATGATAATTCAAAAAAGATTTAACTCTTACCGGTTTTCTTCAATTAAAGGCATGTCCCGTCGCCCCCGTCGCCCCGTCAATTAGATCGATCCCCTGCCGCCGCGAAGGCTGTCCGCGAAGGCTGTCTGCATCGAGATCTTTCTCTCGCCTCGACCAGTCCTCTCGCCTCTCGCCTTCGACCAGATCTCTCGCCTCCCGCCTCCCGCCTCCGACCAGGTCTCTCGCCTCTCGCCTCAAGCAGCCCTCTCGCTGTCTCGCCTCTTGCCTTCGACCAGGACCGCGCCCTCTCATCTCGCCTCGACCAGCCCTCTCGCCTCTCGCCTCTCGTTTTCGACCAGGTAATCGATCTCTTCTCGCCTTCACCTGAAATCGATGGAAATATGGAGTTCATTGCGATCTCCTCTCATTTGTTTTGCGATCACTTGTTTTCTTGATCTCCTCTCATTTGTGTTCATTGCGATCTGAATTTTGTATGGAGTTTAATATTTTATAAGGATTTCTCTGGCATATGTATGAAAGGGATTTGTTTTCTCGCATTTGTGTTCATTGCAAATTTGATTTCCATCGTTGGAGGGATTTTTCACTTATTTTCTGCTATTTTCTGCTATCTTTTTTTTTTCCTGCTGTGCAAAATGGATGTAGAATGTAGATTTGAGTTCATCTTAATGCACGATTTTTCTGTTAAGAAATATGTTGCTGTATTTATGAGTTCATCTTAAGAACCTATGATCATATCAGCTTCAGAGTTCATTCTGAATTAATATGGATGGAGCTGTTGAAATATCTTTTAATGTTATTATCTTCTGTAGATCTGTTGAAATATCTTTTGATTGATTGCAAAGGATTAATGCGGCATGAACTCCATGCTCTATTTAAATGAGTAATGTTTTATCCTCCAAATAGAACTTGTTAGTTGATGGATCATTTTAGAGTATCACTGCACCCTCAAAATAAAACTTATTACTTTAATTATCAAAGTATCACTTCACCTGAAAAAGGGTGCTTGCTTTGTAATTATCAATGTTTTAAGCCATATGACCTTTTTCCACTGCCTGTGGACCTTTTAAATATCGTTTGTACTTCTTAATCTCTTTATATTTACTACTGTATTGAGAACTGAAATCGATTTATGTGATTTGGTCACTATTTAATGATAAATAATAATAATGTGAGTAAAAAAGCTTGAAGTGATGCTAAGTAGTTAAAATACCCTCTTAATCAGCCAACCAACTAATACTTTGTTTATTAATGTATTTAATAAATATTTTAGGCCACTATTTAATGGTTGTTAAACCGTTAAACTTGTCATGCAAACAATCACGATGATACAAGTTCAAGCACTTTAACAAAAGTTCATTGTAAATTTTCTTTTATTCCGTACCTTAGCTGCTTTATTATTGCCCAGTAACAGATTTCTCAAAATGGATAGTCTTACTAAGTGAGTCCTAGTCTGGAAGTATGTTGTGGCATCCTTGTGGAACGTTGAAGATAATGTTGGGGAGTTTGTTATATGCAATACTTTTTAATTCTCCGCAAAAAAATATTTGTTCGAGTGTTGTTTACCTGCTTTTTCTTGACATATATTATGATGAATAATGCTTCTTAAATGCTCTAAATGAAGAAGCTGTGTTTTCACTTTTTCTGTAGTTAGTTTCGTTTTGTGATTCCTACCGTCTAGGTGCCTGCTTTAGGACAATCATTTTTTGGAAGATTTACATACATAACACTCAATTCTTGTATATTTTCATATCTAGCATCTAAACTTCAATTTTTGCATATGTCACCCATCATGCATGAAAAGGTTTATTTCACATTTTAATAGTTAAATAATGGTATTTTGATGTGATAAGAGCTAGGTGGAATAAATCTAAAAAATAAAGATTAGGTGTTAGATTTGAATTATTTGGTATGTATGCAAATGCCCTTTTTTTATTAGACTGTTATGCTGCTACTATTTGGTGATTATGATTGATTGGCACATGCCTAAACTTCAATTCTTACATACCTGCCGTATGTTCAATTCTTACATACCTATCAGTTGAAACCAATGTATGTTCAATGTTGCTAGTTTTGATTGAGTCGTGATCTAAAAAATAGTTTTCGTCGGCTCAAGGCTCGACTTATGAATGAGAATTCTGTCTCATCTGATTTTTATTGTGATCTTCATTGGAAAATTGGATTGTTAATCTCGGAAGGGCGTCGTTGAAATGACATATCATTCTTTCTTGCAAAATTGCGGTTTGCAAGATTTACCTGCTTTTCTTCTCATGATTGCTTTCATTTACTTATAGGTAGAAAAATAAAATTAACAACTATGAGGCCAATTCTTACAAAACATTAAGTCGAGGTATCTTTAACTATTTTTTTTTTTCAAAATAACTTAGGGTCTCTATAGGAATGCACATAATTTCTCAGATTTACTAATATGAACTATTTCATTTTGCTGAAGGCTGAATTGTATAATGCTTATTATGCAGGTATCGATCTGTTAATTTTTTAACAGATGATGCTTGATAGTGGAGAGGATATGCTTTTTTTGCATAATAAATAGTAAACTTTCGTAGTATTTGGAACTTGAAATTTGGAGATTTCTCGAAGGTTAGGTGGCAGAATTGTGTGATGGCATTTGCTTTACCATTTATCTCCTATGAAATCTGTTGGAACTAATGAAATTGTATTTTCATCCAGAATTCCCTCTTGATGATGCAAAAGCTTATGTAGCCTTAAAAAATTGGTAGGCCAGTATTAACATTTAGTTTTGATACCATTGTTTAAAAAATAATGGAAGTCCATTCAGTTCCAGCATTCACATTTGATGTAGCTTTGATCACATAGGCTGAAATTCATTAAACTTACAGAATATTATATGAAATTACTTGTGAACATGATCTCAGTTATTTTAAGTATTGTCACGGAAACTACTGCTCAAAATTGATTGGAAGAATGTATTTACAATTGAGAATGCCTATAATTTGTGGTATTTTAATGTGCATATAAGCATTAATACTCTAAAACTTCAATTCTTTACATGCGTGCAACTTTATATGAAAAGTGAACTTTATGCTGATAGGGTAATACATTTGGTGTGGTATATGAGATTTGGATAATAATGAAGTTAGAAATTAAAGATGTAAATATTTAAGAATTGGGTGGTGTATATGTAAAATTCTATGGACATTCATGGGATGAGACGGTAGGAAGCAACGATCTATCTTTGGGGAAATTCATTCTGAAAAGTTATGAGTTTTAGAGTATTAATATGAATACCTTATTTATGTTCGAAGAACTTTGAGACTTGATTGAAAATTTATATGCAGATCTTGCTTAAGATGAAGCAAGATTGAAGGAAAATATAAGAAGGAATTCCTAGGCACTCTTCTTCACTCAACAATCATTGCATGAAACATTATTATGTAAGATTGCCGCAACGAAGACTTTAAAAATGCTTGGCTATTATTACAAAATCAGTTTCAAGGTTTGGAAATGGTGAAGTAAAATTCAATCCTGCCGGCATGAATGGATAGTCAATTTTATGATCAACATTGTTCTGGCAGTCTCGATGTCGTTGGAAGCACTCTGGCTCAGTTTTACATGTTTTCACATTTGACAACTTTGGTTTTCGTCGAGTTACCTTTCTAAAGCATTTATGACACTTTAAATGTGATGTTGTAGATTGTTTTATGACCCAATGATGTTTGAACTACTCTGAAAGGGTATTGCTAGTGTTGACAAATTAATTTTCATAATTATGCTGTGGTTGAAACTGAACTAGTTCAAATCATGATTTTTGCTACAATGCTCAGCTGATTAATAGTGATTTAGCCTTAATATTTATATAGCAAACTTGAGATGTTTTTATTGTTTGACTACCATATTCCATAAAATATATTTATTACAAATACGATTCGCAATTACATATTTAAATTTTTTACATATATATATAAATTTTTTAAACAGTCTTACTAAACAGGGGCAGTTTGGTCATTTCTTCAGAAACAGCTGCCCCACAACTGTTTTCACACAGCTGCACCAAACAGACAACCCGCTTCCCCGCGACTGCTTCCCTGCAGCAGCTTTCTGAGGCAGCGTAGCTGCAGCTGAAAAGCTGAGAAGCTACAGCTGCGCCAAACAGACCCTTAGCCCTCGCCGCTAAGGCTAATCTCTTTTACTCTGTCGATAACTCATAATCCTGGCAAGTTATCTTCTGCCTATTACTTTCCCGATACGAGATTTGGGGGCCGAAGGGTATTCTATCTTCATCTGAAGTGATCGATCCAGTTTTATACTTTCCAGAGAGTTGAGAATGAGGGTTATTGGTTGTTGGTTTTTTATGGATATTTTTATTATATTAGACACTGCTAGTTGTTTTTTTGGGAAGAGTTGATTTGGATCCCTTTGAATGTTTTTTTTTTCTTTTGGCTGCGTGATTTAGTATGGTTATGGTATAATGCTTTTAATTTGAAATCTGGTTATTCTTCCTGCATGAATGATAATTCAGGCAATGTCGATCTGATCATTTTTTCGTGGTGTTCTGGTCTTTTTTGGAGATTGATTTATCTTTTGCTAATGATCTGGTTTTAGTTTTTAGCTGCTTGATAGAACAAACTATTCATTCTGTTGATATTTCTGCCATTTACTTTTTCAGGTGCTGTTCTTGGTAATTCGTCAGCGACAGAAATCAAGACAATCTACCTCCAGCTGTGCCATCAACAGTCGCTTCACCTTTGTTCAAAATGGTAGCAACGAACTCTTCTCTATGTTCGATATTTTTGTTCTTCTTATTTTTTATTTTCATTCAACAAGAAACTAGATCTGGCATATTTTGAAAAGCTGATCTTAATTTGAGGGCCTTTTTTTTTCCTGCATTCCCATAATATGCTATCATAACATCTAAGTAGCAGAAACTAATCTTGAAGTTATGTAAGAAAAGCCGTTTGCTGCACTGATTGTTTCTTTTGTTAACAGGTGGTTCTTGCAGCATCCATCCTTAGCAAATCTGGAAAGGGTGAGTTAACTGTGTAGTTGATCTCTGCATGTACTCGCATTTTTTTTATTTAAATACTTCTTGATTATTCTTTGAAGCAAGTCATTTCGTTGGGCTGCTTACTTAGGAGATAGCAATGAACACAGTTACATCTACTATTTAGGGCAAACGTCTCTTTTTTTTATCTGATTCCTTTTTATATAATTGCATAGTGCAGATCAAAAGTAGTATGTTTTAATTCTTGTAAACCGGAATATGCTTGTGATTTACATATTGTGATGTTTACCTTTGTGAAACATAGTTACAGCATGCATGCAAGCATGTTTGTGTGTAAGGAAAAGATATATATATAAGAGCATTTTTTTCACAACTTCACCATTAGTCTTATCACTATTACTTGGGTTCTACATGCATTCTTGTTGGGTGTTGCATGATATTGTATCTCTATTTTAGAAAAGTCTTTTAGCACAATATTAGCCATGCTTGTTTAGATCTATTATTTTTTCATCATAATCCTCCCTTGTTAATCATAACTGATCTAAATTTGTTTATTTATTTTTATTTTTTTGAAATGTATTACTCGTACTATCTATTTATATATTACCCTTACTTTCTGTTTATATAAGCATTTAACAATTCTTCATTCTTTGTCGTATCACATACTTAGTGTAACATTCTCTTTTTCTTAAACTCAACCTGTTAGAAAATTACTTTATTATTGCTAAAAAACTAAATGTTAAATTCATATAGCATATTTATTCTAGTTGTGGTTTTTTAAAATTTGTATTTAACTCTTCATGATATTCTTTTATCTATATTTTTCGTTAGGTACTTTTCTATAAATGCTATTTAATGTTTCCGAATGCTTATTCCTATCAATTATCTTAGTACTGAATCATATAGTTTCTCAAGCTTAAAAAAAAATCATAAGATACTTTCTCTACCCTCTCTCCAATGCATAATCAAATCAAAATTTTCTTAAACAACATCACTGTACTTTCGACACTTTTTTAATGTACTCTAAATCAGTTTTCATGATACTTTATCATTTACTCTAAAGATCAATGAAAATTATATAAATATCTTTTCTTTTTCTTTGTACTTATTTCATAATTTTCAAATTGCATCCTAGTAAATCTCCTTGACAAAGATCTAAGTTGATTCTTCATATATGTGAATTATCTCAAGTTATATTTTATTATCATATCTGATGAATATATTTTATTACTAATAAGTTTGATTCATTTACAGTTATAGCATTCTTGAGAATTTCTTTCACATCGAAATATTGATACCAAATTGTTTCTCCCATCATTTGGCATCTGATCAAACTTCAAGGTTTACTGCAAGATTTGCTTACAAACTACTTAAATATCGTCCATGTCCCTTAAAATCTTAGTAGGTATTTTATTTGGACATAAAACGTTGCTTCACTTTTTTCATGAATCTATAGCCTCTTTCATTATTATTTTAATCATCAATCAAAAAAATTGTTCTTTTAGACTATATGTAATAATTTCTCTAAAGAGTATTTTTATCTTTTCTTGTTTTTAACTTAGATCTTATAATCTTTTCTTTTAATACATAACTGGATTGAAGTTTCTAATATCCTATTTCTCAGGCATTTTATGTACTTTTTTTAATACCATGCAAGAGATATTTCTACTATTCTTGTATTACATTTTTTTTTTCAGCACTTGTATCAAGGCAGTTTGTGGACATGTCGCGAAGTAGAATTGAAGGATTACTTGCAGCATTCCCAAAGTTGGTGGGATCAGGAGGAAAGCAACATACATTTGTTGAAACTGAAAATGTTCGATATGTGTATCAACCCATAGAAGCTCTATATCTGCTTCTAATTACTAACAAGCAGAGTAATATTGTTGAAGATCTTGGAGCTTTAACATTGCTGGCCAAACTTGTATCCTTTTGTAGCGTTTGAAACCTCAGGCCTAGGGAATTAACAATTTTGTTGAATAAATTCATTACTTCAACTATTTTCTAAGAAGATATCCATACATAAACTCTTGCTCAAGAAAATTATCACCTGTATCTGTGCCAAATAATTATTAAAAGCTTTGTTTTTATTCCTTAATCTAATTGAAGATACCCGAATATTCAACTTCTTTAGATGAAGAGGGAGTTTGCAAGGCAGCTTTTGAGCTGATTTTTGCATTTGATGAAACCATTTCTCTTGGTTACAAGGAAAATGTGACAGTTGCACAAGTAAAGCAGTATTGTGAGATGGAGAGTCACGAAGAGAAACTGCACAAGCTAGTAATGCAAAGTAAGATTAATGAAACTAAGGATGTCATGAAGAGAAAAGCCAGTGAGATTTATAAAAACAAGGTAATTTTTTCTTGTCCAAGTTCGATTATTCTGCTGCTTATGAAGCCTGCCTATCCATTTATTTTTGAGCTGAATCCCTTACTTTGGTCTTTTTAAGCTTTCATTGGATTCCATATGAGATTAAATTCTATGGAATGGTATACGTTATGTGATGCTTTTATGACTTTAAATTTCAGAATTGAATCTAATGCTCAGTACTGCTATTTGCCGTACTGAGTGTGATTTAAGGGAAAAATATAAAGAACTTGAGAAATATTGTCATTTGTTTGTCTAGGTTTTATTGGTTTGGCCAGGTCTTATTTTTGCTCCAGGTTAAAGATATTAATCAAAGCTTGCTAAAAAGTTGGCACACCATTTTAAAGTGCCAGACATCTTGTTCTGATTTCATTTCCTGACAGCTGCTACTGCAACTGCTTGTGTTGTAGGAGCCTTTGGTTTGTACTGAAACTTGGTTTTAGATATTAATACTGTTTTATTTTTTCTCCTGATTTCCTGCACGTGTTTATTTGGAATACATCTTGGAATTGATGGGTTTCTAAATTAGCTTTTTGTGAGAAGCACATGTAGACTTTTTATGACCCTTGATGGTGGAGTTTTATATCATATTATGACTATTTTCTTTGTGTCTGTCGCAAGGGAACACCATTTCCTTTGTTTTTTAATATTTTGACTTCTTTGCTCTACTTCGGAGATTCAGGCGTTGCCTTTTTCTTAACTTTACACTTTTTAGGCTAGAAAAATATGGATTTCTGCTCTCTTGTTATCTGAGCAATGTTCTTTAATGCTTTTATCCTTTTTAAAAAAGATTACGCTCCACTTATTTTGCAGCTTGATAAAAGCAGAGGTGATAAAGGAGGCTTTACATCCATATCCGGTCCTAAAAATTTCAGTGATTTGAGTATCTCTAGTAGTGGTACAGGTTTTGGAAGTGGATCTGGACTTGAAGTTAGCGCGGTAGATGTGGATTCCTTTTCTAGCAAGTCTAAAGGTCTGCATGTTTTTCCACGTTTGTTAGGATTTTGATATGAATCGTTGGGTTGCTTCTTGCTGTACTGTTGCTCTTCGTTTCACTTGAAATAGGAACTCAACAATCATTAATATTTAAGTTCTGGTATTGTTCATCATTAAAATTTATCTTGATCTCGTTGTACTTCATTATTATTTTTTTATTCAGTTTTTGGTTTGTTGATAAAAATGTTCTTTTTAAACTGTGTGCTTTTAACAATGATGAAACTTAGATGTTTTATATTTGGCATTCAGTTTTCATTTGCAAATGAAGACTTTGTGTTCAAATTGTTATATAAAACAAGCAATAGACTAACATAGTTTCTAATCTCCTAGTCTCAACAAACTGAAAATGAGAGAGTATACGTGTGCTTATTGCATTTTTAGTTTCTTTTATACGAGATTGCTATTTTAATCTTTTTTAGATGGCCTTTGTTTAACAATATTTGAATTATCTCGTCAAATTTCATTCGAAACCAAGGGCCAAGCAACCAAAAATCAATTTATTGATCCGAGTGTACTAGATATTGGTTTGTGAGGGATAGATTAAAGTTAAGTTGAGATTTGCCCTATGTTATTTTTGAAATTTACTGTGATTATTTTCCAATTAAAAGTGAGTTGTTGACTTTACGAAAATTTCAGTGTATGACATATATTTGGGCTATTTTTTCCTTTAGTGGATTTCAGTTGCTCAGGGGCCTTCTCTGAATCTGATGAGAGAAAATGAGAGGGGGGATGGAGGGGCCAAAGGTCAATGGGTGGATAGAGAGAGTGATGGTGAGGAGAATTATTGAAGAATGCTGTGGTTTATTTCTTTTTCTTTCATGACACCTATATATAATACAAGATGAGATTTAAATACCTTAATAGTAGAATGGAGATGTAATGTGCTTTTAAAGTTAAAAAGCTAACAAATTCCTAGTATCCAAGCAATCACCTTCTACATGGATGGAAATACTAATTTGAATTTATAAAACTTGTAATAAATAAGTATGCATCTTATGTGGGTTGTTTGAACATTATGAATCCAATTTGTGCTCAAACCTTTGGTCCCGAGGACTGACCTTTACTATTGACATCCTTTTGTCAATGTATTAATAGGTTTATGGCTATGTAGTTTACCTGTCATGATGTGGGGCATAACTCTCTGACTTTTGCTTTTTAATGTTTATAAAAATATAATTTAAATATGTGATATTGATTCAGATGACTTCTGAAATCAAAGTCTATAGCCATTTTATTAATATTCTAAATTCAACAAAACATATTAATACAACATATAAAGTTATTCGCTATAATAAAATGGAGCAGGAAAACTGATTATGCACTTGATTTCCTATTCACCATTCCTCACGCTATTCATGCGAAAGAAGTTTCTCGTGGAACTGCTAGATCTTTTTCCACAATTCAATCATTAATAATGTTTATGTTATCTATCGAAATTGGATGAAATAGTTGTTTCTAATACTCCTTTCCCTCAACCTATTATTTATCTAGCAAAAACCAGTGCATTGAACTTTTTATGGTCTAGCCTATTTCTCTTCTCACTAGAATTCTAATTTTTAAAGAATAAAAAGCTAGAAATAATTACAAAAGTATTATAAATAAATTAATTATATTTTATTTAAAGTTGGATACTGTAATTGATGTCGACTTTCAAAAATATAAATTATAATTTCTTACCAATTTAGAAGTGCTCCAGCTTCTTTCACATCCAGAGAAGCTATAACAAAAGCTAAGAAAATTAACAAACCAACTTAGCCAATTTAACTGTTCTACCATCAAATTGCATCCACCACTGAACATGCGGTCTTAACTTGAATCCATAGCAGAATGATTCCAACAACAAAATTCTTCCATTAGTAGGTTCTTCTGACATTGCATATCAGGGATGGAAGAGGCTATAGTCAACTTGACGTATTTAATCAGCCTACAAGCTCTTCCTTGACTCCAAGTTGATATTGGTCGTTGGCTACATGGATTGAATTTTATTGTTTTCTCATTTCAATTGCTTTTGGAGTCGTCCGTGGTGCTAATAATGCCATTACAAGCAGCTATATTTGCATAAAAAAACTATTTTTCCAGCACTAGGATAGGCTCAAAATTGGCTTATGTTGGTTGATTTTGATGTGAGGGATTGACCAACTATTTTATTGTGATTTAATCCTTCTATTATTATTATATATATTTTTTTGTTGTTTATGTTTTTCATTTGGATTCAGACTATCTATTTTAAAGTAGTGCTGGGTTCTCCTTTTGAATCCATTTTCTTGTACCCCTTTTTTTATCTTTGGCTTTTCATTTTTTTGCTTTAATTTAGGATGAAACTTCCAAAACTTGGTGTTGATTTAGTCACAGAGCCATCATTGTGTTCAGAAATGTGTTTTTTGTTCACCTTGATGATTGCCATTGTTTCCCTTTTCCCATGCCTTTGATATTGTAATTTTGATTGTTCTTATGTTCATCTTTAGTCCTTGGGATATTTTTTGGTTTTTATGGCCATCACATTGACACTGGCTTCAACAAATAAGGCTATTGAGAATAGTTCTATGTCTCAGCAAAAGTTATGTAGCAGTGCGATGAATTTCATTGAGGTTGAGGTTTAATTTAGAACTGCTTCTAGTGAATTAAATTAGTTGTGTAATTTAATGATATAATCTTATACGAACTATCCGAATCTCTCTTTGGCTGTATCATCAGGTCCATCTCTCTCGCTCTTGGTTGATAAAGAACTACATGATGACCTTGAACTAACTCTAGGTCATCAAATGTTAAATCTTCATGCTCCTTGATTCTACATTCCACAGCATAAGGGTGTGGCTGGATATCATCAGCTTTGTGAAAGCCATCTTATGGGCTTGATTTTTATAACACTAAGTTGAAACTCGAGATGCTTGAAATTGAGATCATGTTTGTTTATATCAGCTATCTTGTCAAAGTTTGGTAACTTTTGTTTCGTGTCATCTTTAAATCAACATTGAGTTTCCTCTATGAAATCTAACAATTGAACTTCTTCCTTCATTTCGTCATCATCTCTAGGAACTATTTGTCGTTTGTGTTGGTGGTATTTGTACCATAGATAAATATATTATGGTGATTCATTGTGTTTTCTCTTTGTTGTGTCATGAATCGACAGAACATCCCTTTTAGTTTTTTTTCATCTTCTCTTAAGCCCTCAAGAATTTGTTTTTACCGTGGATAGACCAACTCTAGTGGAGTTTGTATCAATCCTGTGACCTATGGCCGGGTTCTCTTTTGTCTCAGTAGTAGTTTTGGGTTTAATCTTAGCTATCTTTTTGCTCATAAAAAAGTTGCTTTGATATTAAGAATAATGATCCCTAAAGTCAAGGATCAAATTACCAACAAAAAAAATAAAAAAAAATCACAGGTGAGATTTAAAAGTTCCAACTTCCTAATTTAAAGGAGAAGAAACTCCTTTTAAATTCAAAAAGCAAACAATGTCTTAGAATTTAGGCAACTACCTCATAAATGGAAGGAAAGGCTAATTCAAATTCTTAAAACTAGGAATATATAAGAAAGCACTGATTCAAATTTGAATCTATCCCATAATCATAATCTGAGCTCAACTTGCTAACCTCACGAGTCCACCTTTACTCCGAAGGCTTGTTGGCTTCCAAGAATGATATTTGTGGAGTACAATTTCGTTGTTCCTCAATGTTTATTAGGCTTGAAAGCTCAAAATGCTTTGCTAAAACACATCTTTGCAATTGTTGATTAATATTAATTGAATGAAAATATTGACCGTCTTGAAAATTGGGTTGTACTATTGGTCTACATATGTTTGACATCCATTGAAGAAAAATAAAACATAGTTAATATTTTTTGTTTGCATTCATTTGAGATTATAATGTTGCCTTTGCTGGGATTCAAGTCCCAGATGCGAAAAATGGAGGGTTGCATTAAGTAGTTGATAACCATCGTAAAAAATTATTGAAAACTATGACATGAATCTTTTAGATCAAGTCAATGCTAGGGCGTCTCCCAGAAGCGATGCACTATATAGCCTGATTATAGTGACAAGTGTGCAAGGGCCGTTGCACCGACGCTCGAGTGGTGTTAAATAAACAAGAATTCTCAGATTATGGATGAATGCGGGAAAATAAGTTAGTCTATAAATTTAATATTAGGATAAGAATTTGGCATATAAGTATTCTCACCGATAAATTATTAATTAGTAGATATTGTGATTCAAGGAAGATAAATATCTTATTCATTCAAAAAATTAAATGGGTTGGAGAAAAAATTAAGGTGGGTGATTGTTTAGATTTTAAACTTTGATATTCAAGTCGGAGTCATATTAGAAATGATGTAGGTGTAACAATAAATAAGAATTTTTAAAGATTAAATTATAAAAATCAGTATAATTGCAGATATAATTATAGTTCTAAGGATTGTTGTTGATACTAAAATTTTTAATATTATAAATGCTTATACTCTTCAACTAGGTTTGGATATATTTTCAAAAGAAAAAATTTAGAATGATCTAAAAGAATTTATATTAATGATACCTATTGAAAAAAATTATTTTATTGGAGGTGATTTAAATTGACATGTTGGTAGAGTACTAGATGATTTTAAATGTATTAATGCTGACTATTAATTTGAAGCGACTAATAAAGAAGATAGAGTTATATTAAATTTTGCTTATTTTTGATGAGTTCCAAGAGAAATACTTTGCAGTGATTTAGGAAAGAATGTGTTGATATTGTTTATATTCAATTCATTAAAGATATGTATACTAGTGTCATTACTTGTGTTTGAATATGAGGAGGATTTACCATGTATTCTCCAATTTCAGTTGGATTATATTAACGATCAACTTTAAGCTTATATTCTTTGCTTTAGTTATGGGTATTTCTACTTGACATTTACAGAAGGATGTGCCTTGGTGTATGTTTTTCACTAATAATATCATTCTTATACATAAGTCGAGGGAGTTTAGGAATATATTGACTTATGGAGATCAACTTTAGCATCTAAAGGCTTTCTTTTGAGCATATCTAAAATTAAATACATAGAATGTAACTTAAGTAATAATAGATCTAGCGGCGGTTTTGTGATAATGAGTGAACCGGTCATTAAAAGGAGTGAACATTTTAAATATCTTGGGTCATTATTAGTTGAATTCAAGTTAGATGGTTGAGTGGAGGAGTACTTCAGGTCCATTGTGTGATGGAAAAGTAATACCTAGACTTCAAGGAAAATTTTGAAAATGAAAGTGAAACCTGTAATACTTTATGTAGTAGAATGTTAGCCTGTAAAAGAGAAGCATAAAATTAGGTGTTGTTGAGATGAGAATGCTCGGATGGATGAGGGGTTTTACACTCAAAGACAAAATGCGAAATAAATATATCTGTGGAAGGGTTGGGGTAGCTACAGTGACATACAAGATTAGAGAGAGTTGCCTTAAATGGTTTGGTCAGATTAAATGTCAATCAATTAATGAACTTGTTAGGAGAGTAGATGTTTTAGATTTGACTTGTGTTTAGAAAGGTAGAGGTAGATCTAAAAAGAATTGGGCATGTTGTTTAAAAAATGACCTTCATTTATTAGAATTAAATGAAAATCTAATACTAATAGGACACAATGGAGAAAAAAGATTCATTTAGCCGGCCCTACTAGTGGGATAAAGGCTTTTTGTTGTTGTTGTTGTTTTCATTTGAGATTATGTTGTCAACTTATGATTTGCTCAAATAGCATGGATGTTTCAACAAATTTTTAAGTTAATTCTTGAATATTGTAATAGAATTAGGCTAATTTGCCATACCATACTCAATTCATTATTTATAATGTACATTATTGGCCAGATTGTTTTTTCTTACGAGTTACCATTATGCAACCTTATTTTTTCCATAATATTTCCCTGTTAAGTCTATTAAAACATGGAGATGTGGTTTGAATCATTGCATGTCATTAAAAGAAATCAGAGGAGTGTTCTCCACTGGTGCCCACATACACTGCTGCTCAATTGTCAAGCTACATTTTTACAAGGATGCTCCGTTCCATCCAAGACAGCCTCAAGGTTAATTCAACTCGTGGACATCGCTACAGCAGGATTTATGCGTCTTTGTAGGGCTTGCTCTTCACTGGGCTATTCTTTGTAGTGGTTACATTAACCATGGCTAGCTGCTCCTGGATGAGAGATCTGGTGGTTTGCCAGGTGTTTTTCAGATCCTTCGGAGAAAAAAAAAAATTGTAGAAGCTGAAGGAAAAAAACTATCCACAAAGGAGTTTTTATGTTTCAATTTTCCTACATTGCAAATAAAGGATGCAGTCAAGTAGTAAAGACTACCTGGATTATTTCTTCCTTTTTATCATAATTTGAGCTTTCAAAGCCAGTTTTATATTCTCTATTTCATCTTGGAATGGATTGATGATATGTAAGATATAATTCATGTTCAACCCAGCCAGTTCCCTTTGCATTTATGTTGGATGGATTTAGGTTTATTCTAGAGACCTCTCTTGCAGTAGTAATCCAAATTGTACAGGATTAAATAGTTGAAGAGTCATCAATGTGTGAATTGATTAGTTCTGTTATATTGTTTGGGGGTCTTGTGGACTACGAAAGTTGTGTGAATGTTTTTTTTTTATTTTATTTTTTATAATTTCTTTTGTCCTCACAACTTGCACCACAACTCACCCATCATAATTATTTTATTTTACATCATAATTTTTGTGACTGGAGCATTTTGGTCCTATTTCAATTGATGCGCGGTAGAGTATTTCTTTATGACTATTTTGAATGAAATTTGCGAAGGTGGAAGATGGCTCATTGGATAGTCAAGTTGCATTTGTATTGTTAGGTAAGTTGAATGAAAATGATTTTTCTTACTAATAAAAACCTTCAGCTGTTTATAGTTAATTGACATTGCAGATTTGTGTAGCTATATTTCATTTCGTTACTATAATATTTAGTGATTTCGTTAAATTCCAACATAGACGAGGTACTTATTCTGTATTGTTGATGGACCTAGAATCCATTTGAATTCTGAAAATTGATCTGTGCTTTCAGGTCGCTCTGCAGCACCTACTGCTACTATCTCTAAAGGCCTTGGTATGCAACTAGGAAAGACCCAGCGTACAAGTCAACTCATGCAGTCCCTAAAAGCTGAAGGGGAAATGATTCTTGATGATGTGCCACCTACTGTTGGTCAAGTCAAACCATCCCTTCCGCCAACAGATCCTATCACATTGACCATTGAAGAAAGGCTTAATATTATAACGAAGAGAGACGGCGGTGTCAGCAATTTTGACATTCAAGGCACACTCTCCTTGCAGATTCTTAATCAGGAAGATGGCCTTATCCAATTTCAGGTTACTCTTTCTCATTTTTACTTGTAAATTGCCGTTCTGTGTACCTGTTTTTTTAAATTTTTATTTAAGATTTTCATTAGAATTGTTGAGTTGCATTGAATGTTAGAGTGTTCATGAAGGAGAGGTATTGGTTGAAGAGCTGGTGATCCAAAAAGCCTTATCAGAATGTTTTTTAGAGTTTGGTAGATAGATTATTTTAGATTATTACATTTTTGTGCTTTTTGCTTATAACTGGCTTCAATGTGATATTAAATTGTGAAGCTCTCGCCTAATTTTAATATGTTAATCTTCATTTTTGATACTGGATAAATCTTAAATTGTTTGCTACGTAGGAGTTTATTCATGGTATCAACATGTAAGCTATTTAAATATCGAATTTCATTTGTGTAATATTTTATAACTTGATGAAATTTGAATGAAAAGATTGAAATGGTGAAATAATGAAATTTCGACTATATCTGGTTGAACTGAACAAAGTTTTTACATTTGCTTTAGTGTTGATTGAGAAAGTACTGACAGTGGGGTTTGTCTTCTCTAGCTGGTTTAGTAGTTCTCAAGAGAGTTGCCATTTTCTTTCTCTTTTCTTTTTTTTTCTTTGTTTAATTTCTGTAGAAGCATGCCATTGAAATTCTTCTAATTGGTTACTCCTGCCTGTTAAATTACAGCTTAAAATATGATTTTGTTTTTAAGGTATAGATTTGACGATCTGCAAACTTATTTGCAGATCGAGAACCAAGACATAGCTGGTCTTAGCTTTAAAACCCACCCAAACATCAACAAGGAATTATTCAACAACCATCATATTATTGGCTTGAAGGATCCAAATCGTCCTTTCCCCACTGGTCAAAATGATGTTGGCCTGATGAAGTGGAGAATCCAGGGCATGAAGGAGTCTTCATTGCCATTGACCGGTGAACTTACTTGGAGAACTCAAAAATATGAAAGCTTATCATTAAATTAATTGACTTAATTTACATTTATCATGCAGTCAATTGCTGGCCTTCTGTTTCCGGTAGAGAGACTTCTGTTAACATTGAGTATGAAGCCACTGAAATGTTTGACTTGCAAAATGTTGTGATCTCCATTCCTCTTCCTGCAGCTCGGGAGCCACCAAATGTCTTGCAGATAGATGGTGAATGGAGGTATTGGATATTTCTATTTAGCATATTGTAATTTATTGCATGGTTGGTGATTACTGAACTAGCCTGATGAAGGGAGAAAATATTAATCCATGATGATCAGTATGGAGAGTGTTGAATTAGTTGATGCTTTTGATTGCCAGCAAAGTCACTTTTTTCGTTGCTTCTCATTTTTCTTACTATCAGTTCTGTATGTTTGTTCCATTACAACAATTTCTAGTTATTCTCTCAACCATTTGACTTTTTTTTTTTTTTTTTTTTTTTTTTTTTTTACGCAGGCATGATGCTAGGTCATCTACATTGGAGTGGTCGATTCTTCTTATTGACAACACTAATCGAAGGTATGAGTTATCTAATCCGGTTCCATAAAAATTTACCTTTGCTTTCTCAATATCTTTCTTCCATCCTTAATAGTGGATCGATGGAGTTCGTTGTGCCTCCGGCTGACCCCTCTGCTTTCTTTCCTATCAACATCATATTTACTGCGGCTAAGACATTTAGTGATGTAAAGGTTTGTTACCTTGAACCAATCCTCTGAGCTTCTAGTTTCCTGCTTGTCTTGACTACTTCAGCAGCTCAAAGATGAAGCCAAGTAAATCTTATAGGAAAGAGAGGGAAAGTCTTGACTACTTCAGCAGCTCAAAGATGAAGCCAATTAAATCTTATAGAAAAGAGAGGGAAAAGATAGAAAAGTAATGAAATCTGGTGTCCTTCTATCATTTTGACATTTCCACCCTTTTTTGAAGAAAAAAAATGGCGACAATTGAAATCCTTAAAAGCTGTTTGACTCTCAGTGGATAGTTGCTTGTAGATGACTTTTAACCTCAAAAGTCTCGTAAAAAATATTTGGAGCATTTACCTATACCACCCAATTCATGTATTTGCATATCTAACACCTAAATTTTGCTTTTTACATTTTTACCACCCAGATCTTTCATATCACATAAAAAATACCATCATTTTAACTTCGAAAAAGTTAAATACACCCTTTTTATGCATATATAACGTGGTATGTATGTAAAAATTGATGTTTAGGTATTTGACTTTTTTTTGTGATATTAGATATTTAAATACATAGGAATTGAGCCGTATGTATGTAAATGTTCCAAGATATTTATATGATCGTCATCTTTTACAAAAAGAGAAGTGGTCATTTAATTTGATTTTTAAATGGTGGGACAATTCATTTCAGATTATTTTGCCTATATTATTATGCAACATACACAATATTCTGACATGACGATGTAAATTTGCGTAGGTTGCGAATGTGATGCCACTAAGAGGCGGTGCTACCCCTAAGTATGCTCAGAGGATACAACTACTCACCGACACCTACCAAGTTGTTTGATTTCTAAATGCAGATAGCCAACAGCTGTGAAGAAAGATGCGTCTCTTTTCCTTGTTCCATGCTACTGCTCTGGTTTTCAATATCTGCATCTACTAAGTGTCTCTTCCCCTGACTGCTATTTTATTCTTATTTGTATAGAACCTAAAAAATTTCCATGTGCTAAGAGCTTTTGTGAAGGAAGGTTTTCATATTATTCGTTATTGTTGGATAGTTTGAATTCGATTAGTTATTATAGATATTTGATAAATACGTTTGGTAATTGTTTTTTTATGTTTATGAATGCCTCTTTTTGCTTTCATTGGAGTATTGTTCGACTGTAATTTGTTATCAATCCTTGCCTGATTTTGACGATCAGGTTGGTTAAACATGCAATATTTCTAAAATGCCTTTTATTGTTTCGTTTTATATTGGACGGTTGATTTTTTTAAATCTAAAGCATTATGGTGGATGGATTAGTCTGCTAAAATGCCTTTTATTGTTTCGTTTTATATTGGACAGTTGATTTTTTTAAATCTAAAGCATTATGATGGATTAGTCTCATTGTTTCTTTTTTGAAATTAGTAATTTATATTTGAGTTAACTCAAACTGAAATAGAAATGTAAATTTTATTGCTGAAATGTGAAATAGTTACAATTAAGATACCATAGCGCAAAGGCGGAGGGGGCAAATCCCGTCTTGACAACATGTGGAGGGATTGGCAGAGAGGCTTGCGGCTACCTTTGATGTTTGAAGGGTTACATTACAATTGGGGAGGGGACTAGCAAGTGATGGTAGATCTTTGGCTATTTGAGTGGAGTAAGCGATGGGAAAAAAGGAAAGGGCTGGATGGAAAGATTGTGGAAGTACGGGTGAAGGGAGGGGAAGGTTGGTTACAGGCTGAGGGAGGACAGTGGTCGATTGGAATTTAGCGGTTGGTGGTTGGAATAGACACGGAGCAGATTATAGGCGGCAACAAAGAAGGTTTGGGGCTGATGAGGATTGCTATCTTTGGCGGCTTGCAATAAGTACGAAGGAGGCAGTAGAAGTGAGGAAGCAGAGGAGGGAAGCGTCAAAATAATCAGTACCTCGGAATGAGATATAGTTGGAGCACCATAATTTGGAAAGGGAAAAGAGGACACTAGTAGTTGTCCTAAAAAAATATTTAAAATAAAATTCACACATTCTCATCCTAATTCAACAAACACACATTAATAATAGATAATAAATAAAATAGGAAGGTAAAGTTCCTCCCTTGGATAACAACTAAAAAAGGAAGGAGTTGGCAGTAACCAAGAATAGAAGAATCAGAATAGGAGAAAAAAAGAAGCTGCAGAATGAGAATGGGAGCGTCCAATCCTACTCGATATATTTGGCGACCTGCCAAGCCTTACTGCCAAATATATTTGTCCACGTCTGAGAGCCCTGTGTTAGTCTCCTGAGGTTGGGGGCTTCGATCTCATTCGTCAAAGCTTTTGTCGATTTATTGTTGGTGATGGAGCTATTGTACTTTTTGGTGTTGAGACCTTTATGTGGGATCTACGAGATCCTGGATCTCACTGATGACTGCACCGCTGCCCTAAAACACTTGAGGATCTTTCCGTATTTACGAGCAAACATTCATAATGGTCCAATTATCTCGAAGCACTATTGAATTAAACTACATGTCCCGCCTCTGTGGCTGAATACTCCCAAGGTCAACCACAGTCGGCTTACCTAGATCTGAAGTGGGGGTAACATAAACCTTTTCGTAAGGTGGTGGCGTTGGTGTAAGGTTATCGACCCTAATATCCTGATATGTTTTTTTTCATGCCTGTCCCATGTCCAGAGCTAGTGTCTCAATCCTATCATTCTCTGTCATCACCAAAACTTGTTCCATCGATGTTACGTTGGGCTCTTGTGATCTCGGGCTTCGATGAAGAAAGTATGATGATGTGTTTCACATCTTTGATGAAATAACATGTGTTTCTAAATTTGTCATGTTGAGTCATCCGATCAAACTACTTTTATTGGCTTACATAAGAATGTAGGAAAATAAATAAAAATGGAACAAACGTATTCATCTAAATGTAAAAATAAATATATTATTTATTATAAGGAAGCTAATTATGTGATGATACATATTAAGGCTGAAGGAAATACCTCATGGGCATGTGACTTATTTAAACCAAATGCATATTTTTGTAGATTGCCACTTGATAACCATAAAAGTCTTATTTTTTATATGGAAGATATATCATTTTTCTAAGAAAATATAATACAATAAAATATTGAATAGTAACTTTGTAGACGAACAAAATAATTAAATGCAGTTGAACATTTAATCTAAACTATATGGAGTGTAGTTCATAATAGTAGATGAGGCATTAGATGATAATAGCGAAGAACATATGTTCTTTACAAGTTTGTAAAAACTTCAACTGATTCGATAATTTCTCTTATGGATCTAGCGAGTTTATTTTCTTAAATCATAAAACACTCATAAGGTTGATGACAATGGATTCAAATATTCAATGGTCAAGTTATATAATATTTTATTAGATATGGTATTTTTCATTTAAATTCATTTGTTGGTATCTCAAAACTATTATTTGTATATGTAATGGTCTTCTTGGCTTTTACATTTTCTTAGTATTTGCAAATTATATAAAATTTATAAAGTTGTTAGAGTTTACATACCATAATATTGATCACATGGAATGTTTATTTACTCAAGACAAGCAAGAAGGCATTAAGAGAATTTTATAACATGGAGTGGAAGGCCACAAGGAAGGAAATGATTACTTAATTTGTGGAAGCTACCTTGTTGACTAAGTAAACCACCTTCTCACTTCATAGAGGTATTCATTGACGATTACTAGGCATTCTCCATATCCCAAGATGACACATCACTCCACTTCCAACATGTTTAGGATCAAATCAACTATATAACATACATGATCTCCAAATACATATAACCATACATTATTTTGAAGTTACCAACCCTTTCCTATAAGGAGTTTGATTTTTTCAAAGTGTAAGATATAGGAAAGGGTTATTTGAAGCACTTTGGCTACAATGAAGAATTAATTTATGTTTACCTTTCATTGTTTCGTGGCTAAAATAACCTTCAATGAGATTGAATACATTCCATGTTCCTCTTCTTAATTTTCATCCTAAGCTCATCTCCAACCCTTTCCCTTCTTTTAAAATAAATCTTATTCAACTCACCTAGCTATCTTATACACCCTTAGGCCATTTCCCATCATTTTCAAAACTTTTTTACCCCTTTCCACGTACATAAATTCTCACCATCAACCCTCAACTCACTTCCATTGACTCTAAAAACCTTCCAAAAACCTTTTCATGTATGCAAGGGTTTGATATTTAATATCTAGCACTTTCCTTACATCTATAATATTAATATTAATATAAATCCTGCTTGTATTTCTTCTCATATCAAAATACTAGCCTTTATGTCATTTAATTTGTTTTAATACTTTCAATCAGTCATACAATAAAATTTAATTTAATTTAATTTTTAATTTTAATAGATGATTTACTTAGCTATTATTCATTGATTAGCCAAATATCATACTAGATGGTTTAGATCCTTTACAGATAACCTCAGTCACCTGTTTCAAATTAAATTGTTGGAATTAAATCTAGATTTTTATTTTAAAAATTATTAAAAGCAATAAAAGTTATATTTTCTCTCTAAAAAATTGAAATGTAATATGAATTCTCAAAAACCACAAGTTATTAGTTAATATATTATTATTATTTCACAAATTATTCCATTATAATAGAATGCAATTATTAAACGCACCAACTTAAGTTATCATTTTATATCCAATAGGCAGTGGATTTTGTTACTTCCTAAATTTAATTATTAAGATAATTAATATTATTTTTTCTTCAAAAGCTAAAATACAAAAAAAAAAAAAAAACTTGAAAGATTTCTCTGAGTTAATTGGTTATTATATTATCATTAATTAAATTATCTAAATATTCCATGTACATTAATTCTAAAGCATTGATTAAATTATCTAAATATTTTGAATTTATTATTATTATTCTTATTTATATCATATTTTAAAATTCTAAAGCATTTGAAATCAAATGACGTAAATGGCACAAAAAAAAAAAAAGTTCCTCTTTTCATATTTTACCTAAGGATTAATTAAAATTTTATCACATTCTTCAAATTTTCTCATCTCTTACTTTAATAAGGATATTCTTAAGAAGTTATGTCAAAACTGAAGTTAAGGTGTTAGATATGTAAATACAATAGGAATTGAGTGGTTTGTATTTAAATCTTCCAAAGAAGTTGTTTCTTTCATAAGCATGTTGTGAAGGTGTTTAACTTATTCTGGTTAGCATCATATAATGATAATAGTAAATTAGTTGCTTTCTCATTTGTTTTCAGCTGGAAGTGTAGGATGTATGCCAAAAACTAGCATATTTATACAAGATCATTATTTTGTCAGGCATGCCTAAACATTCACATTGGTAGAAACATTTTAAATGGAAACAAAATGTATTAGGACTTGCTCCCCAATTTAACCCGGCCAAGCACGAGGACAATGGATGTAGTCTCATGCTAATCTGGCTTGGTGCATCTTGATTGCTATCAAAATTATTCAATCGTTACTTGCTTTAAAAAAATGGATCATGCTTTTGCTTCTTAAATATAAAAAAATAACTAAAAGCTCAGTCTTATCATTATATATATCATGACCTGACCCTGGGCTTTGAATTTTCTAAAACGGAAATAGACTGTTGGATGGTAATAATCAAATATTTCTTTTTTTAGTCATATAAAGTAATTAATCCTTAGGTAAAATTGATTTTATATATAAAAAAATCAATATGTGTGATAATATTTAGTAACTCGCAGTTAGCATTCCAAATCTAAATTACTTTTCATTTCTTTATTTTATTTTTTCTTTGCAAAGTTATTTCATTTTTTAGTCATCTCCTTTCTGTAATTAAGCTTAAAATTTGAAGATTTATGATAAAATGATTTACTAGATTATGCTCAAGCTAAATCAATTTATGTTGATTGTGAATGTGTTGTGTGTTTATATAGTCTTTTGCATGTTCATTATATTTACCTAATTCTCTTTTTTGTGAGTCATATATATATATATATATATATCGACTTGTAAATTTTTTTCAATGATTAAATAACATAACAAACTATGGTTATTTTATTAGCAACATCACAAAATTTAAAGAATTTTATTTAGATGACCAAATGTGGCATTAAAAATAATTTATTGTCCAAA